TTCTTTTAATATAAATCTTACTTTTCCCTTTTGTATAACATTTCCTGTAGCTAGAATACAGACCACTTAATTTTTCCTTATGCATTTTCACCCCATTTTCTTCCAACCTCTAGCAAAAGGTTCTCTTATTTGTTCTTGTATATTTTGTTATTTTTCTTTTGTTCAGTCATAACATTTCCCTATTAGTACTATACTTTTCTAGAACTTAGAAAAGTATAAATACAGCTACTCATGTACTAGATATGGGAGGAATTCAGATAGTTCACCCATCAATTTATCTCTTGTCTCTTGTCTCAAAGTCCTCTAGCATAAGGCATAGTCTTAGTCTTCATTGTTTTCTGTATCAGATTGTTTGTTGTACACTTTACAAAGTACACTTTCTGTTTATTCATATCTCTCTTCTAAGGTTGCAACTATGCTAGAAGAACTTGCACCTGTTCAGAACCACTCTAGTCTTATAAGACTCATAGTTTAGCTCCCCCTCAAACTTAACAAATCACTTGTGTTCTTCTCTTAAACACTTTACAGGAGTTTCAAGGTCTACCTACTTAACAGAGACAAGTAGGAGGTACTTAACAAGTTCCTTCAGGAAAATCTTTGAAACAGTTAGATCTGACCCTTAAAGTCTCTTATAGCCTCCCCTTTCTTCTTTGTTAAAAAGAAAGATAAGAAGCTTTGCCTAGTCTAGGATTATTATTATTTTAATAAAGGTACTATTAAAAACAAGTACTCACTCTCTCTGATTCAGGAGCTTATTAATAAGATGTATACATTCAGGGTTTTTACTAAGTTGGATGTTTAATAAGGATACAATAACATTTGGATCTAAGACAGAGATGAGTAGAAGGCTGTATTCTGAACTAATTACAGATTGTATAAACTGACTATAATGTTCTTTAAACTAACTAACTTGCTTACAACATTCTAGTCATTCATGAATCACATCCTTATAGATTTGATTAACTTGAGGCATGTTAGTGTGTATCTGGACAACATTCTAATCTTCACCTAGACAGTTGAGTATTATTACTAACTGATCTAAGCAGTTCTATAGTAGCTCTAAGATAATAAACTGTTCCTCTAAGAAGTAAAGTGTTCTTTTGTACAGGAGTTAGTAGATTATCTAGGCTTCATAATTAGTAGAGGAGAGGTTTGTATGAATCTAGTAAAGGTAACAGTAGTTTAGAACTGGCTACAACCTTAGAACCTGAAACAAGTCTAAGTGTTCCTTAAGTTTACAAACTACTACTAATGTTTCATTCAAGACTTTAGTACTATTGTCTGACCCCTTTACAACCTTACTAGTAAGGATGTTCCTTAGTAATAGGGTGATTAATAGTAGTCTGTGTTTGAGTCCCTCAAGCAGGCTATTACTAGTAAGCCTGTATTAACAGTTCTGACAGTTGTAAACAAGTTCTGAGTTAAAGCTAACTCTTCCAACTTTACAAATAGAGTAGTACTGTTTTAGTTCATTAATAGAAAGTAGTGTCTGATAGTGTTCTAATTAGAATCCCTCTCTATAATAGAACAGAACTACTCTATCTATAACAAGGAACTCCTTACAATTGTTTGTTCCTTAAAGGAGTAGTATTAATATCTTCTTAGTACTGTATAGAAGTTTAAGATTTAGAGTGATCACCTTAATCTCTAGTACTTCTAGGTGCCTCAGAAGCTCAACTACTGTTAAGCCTACTAGATGTTAGAACTGTAGAACTATGACTTTGTACTGACTCACAAACCTAAAATGTAAATAACAAAAGCTGATTTACTCTTAAGACAAGTAAGTTATAAAAGGAGAGAGAATAATAACAAAAATCTTGTTCTCCTAAATAATTCCTGTTTTGTATCCAAGACAATTCAAGAGATCCAACTCAAATCTAAGGATGTTGACTTTGTTACTTATATATAGTAAGCTCTAAGACACACACAGGACTAGGTTGTAGTAAAGTAGTTAGAGAAGTAGGCTAGGGATTAGGAGGAGGATAAGGATGGACAGGTTTACTAGAAAGGCTGACTATATATTCTGAAGGATTAGAAGCTGTAGAAGGACATTGTCTAAGCTTATTACAACAATCTAACTGTAGAACATTTAGGCTGACACAAAATGTAGGAACTTATTACTTAGAACTACTAGTAACTAGGAATGTAGAGGGAAATCCTAAAGTATGTAACTAGTTACAATATGTGTTAATAGACTAAGGCCTACTAGACAAGGGTTTGGGCTCCTCTACATTTGTATCAGATCCTAGATCACTCTTGAGAGGAAGTCTTAGTAGACCTGACTAGTAAGTTACCTAAGTCTTAGGGTTATAATACTATCTGTATAATTGTCAACTAATTCTCTAAGCAAGTCTACACAGTTCTGACCTGAACAGAACTCACTTCTGAAAGTATAGTGTGTATCTATCAGGATCACATCTTCTGGTTGTACAGACTCTCTCAGAAGCTCATTTATGATTGTAGACTACAATTTGAGTTGAAATTCATGTAGAACTTGTATACACTTCTCAGAATTCAAGAGAACCCTTCTACTATATATTACCTACAGACTGATAGTCAAACTGAGTAAGTCAATCAGAAGATTGAGCTCTATCTCTGAATGTTTATTAATCATTAGTAGTCAGACTAGTCTGAATAGTTAACTCTAGCAGAATTTGTGTACAATAACTAGTAACACTCTACAATAGGATAGTCCCTATTCTTCCTCAATTATAAGAGACATTTGTACTAGGGAACAGTTCTGAACTAGAATAGTAGTTCTGAATCTGTAACAGACTTTGTAGAACAGATACACAAGACTAGGGAGGATGTATAAACTCTTTTAGAGAAGGTAGTACAGGTCATAAAGTAGAACTATAATCAGAAGAGGTTCACAGCTAAGGATTACCAGCCTAGTGACAAAGTTATACTAGAAGCTACTAATCTGACCTTAGATTGTCTAATGAAGAAGTTAGACAACAAGTACTTTAGACCCTTTATTATTAAAAAGAAGGTTAGTACCTCTGTCTACAAACTCTAACTTCTAGTAACATAGAAGCACATACACCTAGTGTTTAACAAGACTCTATTGTCTTAGTACTATAATCCAGGTTTTCCTTCACAACAAAGACCCCTACCACCTCTACTAGAACTCATCAGTTCTGAACCAGAATACAAAGTAGAGTACATAGTGAATACTAAGCTACTGTGTGGAAAACTCAAATTCCTTGTTTACTAGAAAGGGTACCCAGTTGAGGAGCACACTTGGGAACCTGCTAAGAACCTTGCTCATACTCCTAAGACAATATGAGACTTCTATTAACTTTATCTGAGTACTCTGTACTAACTCTACTTTACAGATTTCTAAACCCTACTGTTCTAACTTATGTCTGAGCTACTAACTAAGTCTAATGTTTACTAATTAGAATGATTAGTTTTAGAGAGAGGGTAATGTTACAGTTCTCTACTCTTACACCTTCAGTTCTAAGGGTTCTGCACCCTTCTGTACTGGAACTCAGGACTTCTGTCTCTCAGGAGTACTGTCTATAGACTATATGTATACTGACTCTTACTACTACCCTTCCTTACTTCATCATTCTGTTCCTTTGACCACCCTTTCATTCTTTGTTCATTCTACAGTCTCTTACTCTTTGTCCATCCCTTCATTCTTTGTACCTTTATCTTTGACCTTCCTTTCTTTCATTCTTTGTGGCTTATCATTTTTAGTAGCTTGTACTCTCTGAGTGCTCTTGTGTAGTTTAGTATATATAGGTGTACAAGATCAGACTGGTCCTGTAGTCTTGATCTCATCTACTCCAGGTAGTCCTGTACTCTTAGGCTCACTCTATATACTCTACTCTTGTCTCACTCTCTCTCTCCATCTGTTCCACAAGTTCCAACTATGTTCTAGTGCTTGTGTTCTGTATTTCTGTTGTGTAGGATAGTTGTAGCCTGGGTCCCCTTGCTGAGCCTTCAGGTCCCCTCTACACTGTTACTGACAGGACACACCAAAATGCTTACTATGGTTTCTATTCTTGTCTCAGAAGCAGGTGAGAGCAGGCCTTCAATACTATCCAGTATGATTTAAGTACCATGAACCTTTCATCTACCTAGTTGCACTCCTAGCCATATTAGTGAAAGCTGGTTAGTTGTCCAGTCATCACTTTAACAAGTTGTCTAACATAAGAGCCTAGCTAAAATGCCACAATCAATCACTATGAAGCAGATATTAACTGATGGTAAGGGGATAAATCACATTAAATTAATCAATCTAACACACTGCTTAGGCGTCTTGTTTTTTGTTGTGATAGTTTGTGAGAATTATTGCTCAGCAATCTGTTCTGTGGGATTCATTGTTGAGCACTTTTTCATTCTAGGTGTAACAATAGTAAATATTGTTGTGCTCAATGTGGCGCCGCCGGAATTATGCAACCTTCTCCTTTCGTATGTCATCGTTTTAATTCTTTCTGATGTATTAAACAGCTTTTTCTATAGACCACAAGCGGCTGTCCATAGCATATGTTGTAACAGACTTATTTTCCAGACTAAGGGTGTTTCGGTTCAGACACATCACCAGCACATTATTACAGTACCCGCTCCTCGGGAGTTTATTCGAACCTATGGAAACCACAGCGATGACATTGAAATGCAGCCTTTGTGAGGACGCCTTATTCTGTGTTGTGCATGTAAATGGATATTACCAGGTCATGCTTGAATTATCTTGCACAAAGCGCATGTCTTGAACAGCAATAATATACTGTTCAAAGCAGATGTCAATATTAACTCAGGCATCCAGTCACTACTTGAAAGAAATGTGGAAGTCAATTTAATCGAAACTGCAACAGATTGTAGTTGGTAATTTAATTATACCACTTATTGACCTCGACCAAACAAGCATTTTAGCTTACAATTCTTGCTGAATACTGATCAGGATAGGACAAGAAAGACATTATTGGTTTACAACAGGTCTGGGTAAAATGTTATTTGACTACTAGACTTTCCCTAGACTGGGGCATTTTGTCAATTATGAAGAAATGGCAAGATAACTCATACACAGAAAATAAGATAAAAGATGTATGTTCTACTACAAGCCCATACATTACGATTTATCGTTGGGCAACAAAGCTCACTGTGCATCTCTATGTATGCATGCAAACGTGTAAGGCAAATCAGACAAGCACAGAGGGAACAACGGGCAGCTACAGATCGAAAGCAGGTACAACAGTGTACACACAAACGTAAGTTTACTTTTAGGAGTCAAATATTGCGTGCATAGAACCCCTCAAAGATAATCAACCACGAGAACCATCACGCTGCAGTAGAACAAACAAAAAATCATCGTGCACCCTCAACAACAGCCGGCTGCCCTTCAGTTCCCTGCGCAGGTTTTTCTACTGCCGATTTCTCCAATGCCGCACCAATGGCCTGTGTACGGAATGCCAGGCCGCGTGTCTTCTCAATGACAGATTGGTAAACTGGGACTGGTGGGCGGGTGATCTCGATGACGTTCTACGGTTAGAAAGCAAATGTGTGAGCGTTAAAATGCGAGTGTGTGCAGCTATAAGAGACGGACCTTCTCAAGATCGATCTTCGCATCTGCACCCATGCGTGTCTCGCGGATAAGGTTTACGATCCATTTCTCGCCTTCCTCGCGGGAGAGGTTTAGGCGTTCCGACAAGTCCCTATTTCCAATTTGCACACCATAAGTTCTCATCTTCCCAAACAGCCATGACAAAAGTATAATTAATCCAAATAGAAAAGAGAACTCACGCGATGTCAATTTTATGGTGAATCCGGCAATACGCCTCACTAATGAGGTACCTCGCATTATCTAAGAACTCGTCCTTAAACTCCTGGAGGAAGAAATCGTTCTCGACGACTTGGACAGCTGTCGTCAACTCGCGTTGTGCAGCCTCGAAATCGAATTCCAAATAAAGCTCCTTGAGGAAATTCGTGATAGGATCACTATATTGATACTCCTCCGTCTGCACGATCTTCACGATCTCCTTCAACGAATGCCGTACACGGGAGGAAGTCGTTCCACCCGCCGCACCGGCCTTACGAGAAAGCACGGCAGCAGTCGCGAGGTATCGTAAAATCCAAGGACATGAGGTCTGTATGGTGTTAAGGTATGCGGGTGCAAGGAACGTCTCAAGGAGGAGCGTCCGTCCTTGGCTGTGGTTGAAATACACGAATAGCGACCAGTGCAAAAGCCATGTGCGAGCTTGCAGTTGACCGAGCATCGCACCCTCTGCGGAGTTCGTGAGCGAGGGCGCTGGCGTGCGGGAGTCAATGAGCTCCCGGAGCTCGTTGAGCTGCTCAAGTGCAATATCCCATTTCCCCGTAAGTATGTCAGAAGCGAGCTTCCCCCACAGTGCAGAAAGGTGGAGGTCGTTGTCGGTAGACAGGACACGGAAGTGGTACAGGTAGTCAGCAGCACCACTATAATTTCCGTACGAATATTGGAATTGGCCAAAGTGATACAATGCGTTGATTTGTTCAAGAGTTAGCTATGCAAACGGTACTCGGGTGTGAGTGCACGTTGAAAGGAGTTGTTTGAATGGAATATTGCGCACATTGTAATGATCCTTCAAATACTGTAAATTCTGCATTTTGTCTTGTCGTAGGGCCTGTGCAACGTCCGGGTTTTCGATCACGTCCAGAACCGCTTGTGCATCCTGTTCTAATCGCTCATTCGTTGAGAGCGCATTCTCTCGCTTGCTTGCGAATTCTAAACGCATTTGCAGTCATTGCATCAGCCACGCACAAACACGCTCATTAGGAGAGGCGAAGCTCACCTTGCGGGACCTCTTGATCTGGATGAAGTTGTTCGAATAAGGCGATAGAGTAGTCAACCATGTTCGTGCCCTTTGCAAGTTCATACTGTGCTGCATGGACTTCGTCCTCAGGGAACAGCGCAGTCTCGGTAAGGTGAGCAAGAAGAGGGAAGGCAAGGTGGCGGTCGAGGTAAGGAATTATTGTTTTCGTCAAGTCGTGCTCGGCCATGGTGGATGGTTGTGAGTTGAGCGTAGCCGTTTACTCGTCGTCTGCGGTGCGCATGCCGCACAGGACGGTCAAGAAATTTAGAGTTTGGAAAGCGTGAGAGCGAATGTCCTTACTCGCTCCTCTTCTTTTCGTCGAAAGCTTTAAAGCCACGCTCAAGTTTACGCGACACACCCTCTGATTCACTTCCTCTCAGACATTTCACGTTAAAATCTGTAACGCACTGGCTAACAGGCTTGTCATACTATGTTCCTTTGCGATGCTTGTTCAGAAGCCAGATCTGCGATGTCTCTGTTATTCCAGAACAACATCAATCTATCCGGAGACCGCTGAAGTTTGTTAACTCCGTCGTTGATATTTCTCTTGGCCTCCGCTTTGAGCAGTCAAAAGTGTTTTAGTTGGAAAAAAAATGCTTCCGTATTTACTTGCGAAATTGATGACATTCAGCTCAGATGCAGTCTTGCACGCTTTCGTTCGCATACAATTCTGGTGCTTACCTGACGCTTGAGTTTCTACTGCTCTTATTCAAGGATGCTCATGACCTGGTCTTTGTCTTCACAGCCTCAAGTGTCTCCTTCTGGAGAAAACATAACACAAATTCTCGCCACTTCAATTTGATTTGGGTTAATTTCACAGAAATTATGAGCTCTTCAGGGTGGGATTCGTTCATATTGTGAAGCATTTTACATGGATGATGCAGACCATATTCTTGAACAGCGTACTGGCTCTCAAGCTCCTTCTCCTTGACAAAGGTGGCATGTCTAAATCTGATCAAGCAAGTGCAAAATCATTTATCCCTGCTAATAATCACCTCCAGAACAGATCTCAACGCCACGTGGCGAACTTGTATCCGTTGACGGGTTGGGGTCTGCAGGACGGCCTTTCTCGGTGTGTTTCCTCCTCGTATTTCTCGCTTGCCTCGGTGTGCTCCGCACCTGGGATTAGGACCCCTGAGGAGATACCGGTTAAGATTATGTTTGGTAAGAGAGGATTTACCTTGCTACGAGACGGGGTAGAAAACGTAGCCTTCTTTCAGCATTGGTACCGGTGGCCCTTTCGAAACAAGCAATGTGTCGCCTCCGGAAGGGCTTCAAGAAGCTTAGCTTTAATAAACGGGCGCGCTCACTAACGCTCTCATTCAGCAATGCTTGGCACAGTATTCGAAGGTGGATGAATCAAGACTTGGCGGCACCCGCTAATTAACTATACCAAATTCTGGACGTGCTCCGCCTGAAACTGATATACACAGCCAAACTATGAAGAATTTGGGTGGTATAAGAATGTGCTTGCACCTGCTTTGGCTGGCTCCCGCTTCTTTAAAGCACTACTCGCCTCATCTGCATTCGGATTTGTCTTTTGCCCTGCTTCTTGCTTCTTTGACCTACTCAAGCTATACCAATACCAAGTCGTAATGGCCACCTTCCGTGCTCTTGTTTCTTTCTTCAGCATTGTCGTGGCATTCTTCACCGTCGCACTCTCTTCTCCGATCCAACGGCGCGACGTCTGGGTGCCAAAAATTCTATACCCACGCGCGAATATCGTATGGAAAAGTGGATTCAAGCACAACGTTACGTGGGACACGTCCAGTCCACCTGCGAACGTGACAAATCCGACTGGCAGGATCCAGCTCCGCCATAATGGAACAACTTCTTGTAAGTATACGTAAATACTGTTTTCTCCCTCGTTTCCCTTTGCCTATGTGAGACTGACGTCTGACATCGACACATAGCTACCGTCTTGGCCGAGGGATTCAACCTCACCGACGGACGTCATGAGATCACGGTGCCCTTCGTCAGCCCTGGCTGCGACTATCAGATCGTTCGTAAGTAGCTACGCCACTATGTGTGGCGAAGGTCAACATTAACAGTATCGTTTCTTCCTCTTCCGTAGTCTTCGGTGATTCAGGCAACTTCAGCCCGTCGTTTATGATCGCCAGCGAGGGTGACTGATGTGCTTAATTGAACATCGCCACTCATGGTAATGCAAGGCGAATGCAAGAGTATTATGAAAATTCGAATGGTTGACTCTACTGATATCAACGCTACGTGGGTTGCTTTAAGCAAAAATGTACGATCGATTGTCTGGATATCATCTGGAATACTACCACGGGAAAGGGGGGTCGGGTGTCTTTATCCATTTTATTTTATTTTATTTTATTATCTATTTTATTTCTCGGCTGTTTATCTTTGTCTGCTTCTTTACTGGTGTATTGTATTATGGTGTATGTATTCGATCGGAAGCTAGAGAGTCGCAATCGTTTAAAATTGGATAGACTCGCTGTTTAACTTAATAATTATTTCCTTCTTTCAATATAACGAATGTTCCGTTTGGCGTGAAAATTTGCTGAATACATGCGTGACCCTCATTAAATGGCGTTTGGTGAGGTGGAAAACCAAGTCCACGAAAGCGCGGAGAAATAACAAAAAATTACAAAGCGATATTAGTACTATAGAGATACAATACACCGTGCCTCCTTTCACAAAGTCCTACTTGGTCTGGTAAATTCGTCGTATCCACCTTCGTCTACGCGTTACACCAGTTGACTTCCACGAGTCAAGCGGAGCGCTTTGAGGGTCCATCCACGCATCATTCGTATAGACCCATCCATCTATTGTATCAGATACTTTGGTCAGTATCACAAATCGAGACGAGAGACAGACAATCGCGGACCATCATCCGATTCCACGGCTGTCCAAGATGCCTCCAAGTCTTTCCGCCAGTCCTCCGTTTCTACAAAAGCCCAGCCGACCTCAAGTGTAAACGTGAGATTGCTGCTATATACGGTTAGCAATTTGAAAAGCGTAGATGAGCCCCAATATGGAACGAGGGGAGGAAAGGACATGAACGATCCAAACAAACAATGCCTGAAATCATAGGACATGACAAACCTGACATCTCCACTCCCATCTGGACCCGAACTATCCCATCCATCACGTCCTCGTGTCCAGCCCTTTCGTTCGTGTGGTTTCAGATGGTTTTTGCCAAATACGGGAGAACCTCCCGGACCTGGACCAAGGCGTTCGTTCTCCCAAAGTTCCACTTCGCGTAACACGCTCTTCAAATGATGATCTTCTAAGCGGTCATCATCGACAAATCTTGCAAGCCTCATCCGTATCCGCTTCATGTGAGGCGCAAGTAATACCGGTAGATAAGTAAGTGTGAACGGATGCGCAATCACAAATGGTAAGAGCCCGAGTACGAGGAATAAGGGGCGAAGAGGAATTAGGGGAAGGACGAGTAGGAGAGACAAGGCCGTTAGGGCGGTGAACGCAAGAATGCTGTACGAGTAGGGTGTCGAAAATGTCAGGTGTGGAACGAACACGAATAAAATCATGTCATGCGTGTCAGCCCTAAATAAAAGAAAGGATAAGCATAAATCCACAGCAACAGTCCAAAAGAATGCGAACACAACGCCCATCAAATTTTGAATGGCCTGCAGATTTGAGAACCATTCAGGCGAACCTTCTGCAGGTTGTGTATAAGGCGGATTGCTAGGTGCATCCATTTGCCGAGAAGTGGACGGTTTGCGATATGAGTAAGCTGATAACAGAATTGTCAAGAGGATGGCGTGTGGAATGAGCAGCACTAGTCTGGGAAAGTAGCCTGGTGTGGAGCAGTGAGTTAATCAATTCGCGAAGCAGTAGGGCAAACGTCCTCTCACATATGAAAGCATATGTCATCATCCAAGCCGTAGTAACTTTCCAACCCTTCTTCCACATCAAAATCTCCTCAATACGATCCTGCAGCCACCAAATTGGTCCACTCTTCGCAGCAAACCTTCGAAAGTGCGTAGTCGTCGTTGGAAGACTGAGAAGTTCCCTTGTTGACATTAGATGTGGGGCCTTCCGTGTCGTGCGAGGAGAAGGGCTCGGAATTGCTATTCCTGAGGCAAGTATTGCACTGGGTATATTGAATGGTTGCTTCGCTGGAGATTGCGGTACAGAGGAAGGTGAGGGCGGCGAGACCGTTGCATTTTCAGACTTGGGAGGTTTGGTTGCTATTTTCACCGCCTTCGATGGAGACGAGTCTTCAATACGAGTTGCATAGCTGGGTATCTGTACATAGTCCATCGAAGTGTCTGGTGAAGTACGTCGTTCATGAGCAACTCGAAGCGTTTCCCCTGATTGCATCACGTGCACAGGAGTGTACATGGTAAACTTACCAATTATTGAATCAACTCAAATAAATTGAAATAATACTCTACCCTGTGTACAGACAATGAAGGTATTTATTTTACAGCATGAGGTGTGTAGTACGTGCTAGTGGAAATAGCAACGTCAAAAAATACCTTACAAGTCAAAATCATAAATGAGAATTCACTTATATCAATCACAACTCGTGGCTTTAGAGAGCAACATCTTCATTACTTTAATAACATTCTACTTGTAGGAGAGTGGAATGTTGAGTCAAGATTGGCTTAGTTTAACTATTTGAATGGCGCATACTAAACTTTATAATCAATCAAGACAGGAAAACAATAGCATTCCGTTCATACCATTATAAGTTTATTACAATAAATTGTGGCAAATGTCGACAGGTAATAGAATTACGCGTAATATACCTGAAGAGGATTAAGTGCTACCAAGTCCACTACGACAATGGCTGTGTTTCAAAATAATTGCTACAGGATCTATTGGGTTGAACATAAACTGGAGGACAGGATGCCACAACAACACCTGCATCATGAAAAAGTCTTAAGTATTGTATTCACTTGTAATCCTATACATTTTGTACTTTTTATAAATTTTGTCAATGTTAATATAATCTTCATAGGGGGTTAAGCAAGGAAAGTACAATGTTAAATAAGTAAACAAGAATGCTTGTAAAACTTGGCAATTACAATAATAATTGTGTAAATTGTTAAGTTACACAAGTAATTATAACATACTTCCTAAGATTATAAGGTTAAGACATACTTATTAATTTGTGACAGTATATTATCTGTTTATAATGCTTAAAAGTCATTGCAATTGTTTGGATCACTTCCTTTTGCTTTGCATACAATTTTTTATTAAATAATTAATAACATGTAATTATATTTAATTATTTAATACAAAAATAATAAATGATACATTATTTCTACAGTCCCAACCCCTGCACCACCAGCAGTGTCTGCCTTGTTCTTTCGTGAGTGGAATTTGTGTCAGAAAAGGATGAATGTGTTCTTAGGCTGTTTAATATAGTCTTTGTTACTATGTTTGGTTGTTGCTTGGGATCTGCAAGTCAAATTGCATGTACATGTAGGTTGAGGTTGAGTAGCTTGTAGAGGTTGAGTTTGCACCTGTTAGACAGGTTTAGAGTGGTTAGTGAGTGACAATAGGAGAGAAAAGATGGATGTACTGTAACAGTATGTAGTAAGTGGGTAGTGTATGCAGATTAAGATCCAGAGCATTAAACAAGCTAATACAGGCTGTAGACAAAACTGTTTCTGTGTACATACACTCTATAGTCTATCTACAGTGTCTAATAGGAGCTGTAGTAAACTGAGTTGTTGATTCTAAGGTGTATCTCTGGGACATTCTGGCTTGAAAGGTGAAGGTAAAGTGGAAGGTAGACAGACTCAGCTCAGGAGGGGTAAGTAGTAGGCTACTACTTCTGTTCAAAATAGTGTTATACACAGTACTAGGGAATGTAAATGCATACAGTGTGAGCCTATTAACACTTATGTCAAGTATGGACTGGATGGAAAAGGAAAGTGTACACATTGTTAGCAAGAGGATTAGACCTTAAAAATGGTTAAACATAGACATTGTTGTGAGTGTATACTTGTTGAGTGTTGCTTGTACTATAGAGTAGGAAGGTTGTTCAGTATTGGTCAGCAATACAGATGTGTGAATACAAATGCAAAAAAGAATGTAAGTATAAGAAGAAGAAGGACAACAAAGGAGAGGCAACACAAGAGGCAGAGCAAGGAGCAGGAGGGATGAAAGGGAGACAGGAAGTTGGGAGGAGAGGGATGAGCAACTATTGTACAAGTTATTATGAAGTAGAATGGCTGCTTACACTTTATACTGAAGGACAGAGTAGCCAGCTGGGTTGTGTTGTCACAGAATCTGAGGCTCAGTGTAGGCATTATAATAGTAGACTAGAGAGACAAATGTAGCAATGTTTATTGTCTAGGTGGTTACAGGCAGTGTGCCTTCTGGAGAATGCTTGTAGGTAGAGGACTAGGCTGGAGAGAACAATAGTGATGACATAGCATTAGGGGAAGAGGATTAGGGAGATAGTAGAGGTAAGAGGGAAAGGAGTGACAAGAACAAGTGTGTCATTATATGCTCTCAATCTTCAGTACTCGATTATGTAAGCACTTTGACATATAGTTTAAAAGTAAAACTAAATTATATTATAAGTCTAACAGGATGATTGTTAACAATATTAATATATATAATTGTATATTATCTTACTAAAAGTATTGTAATTAACTTACAAGTATAATGTATTATTTTTATAACTATTATAATCAGTTAACTATTGTTACAAATAACTTATAATATAATTTTAGTATATTATAATAAGAGTTAAGTGCTTGTATCTTACATGTAATGTTGTAATAATATTGGTAGTAAGCTTACTTGCTTACAAAAATGCTTATAGTTTAATAGAAACTTTGTATGTTTCTTACATTTATATACAATCATTATAATTACATTACAAGTAAAATATAAGTATTATTTTAGAATGTAATACTTATGAAATCATTTTATTAGATTACTTTTACTATTATTAAATACATTTGTTGTGACTTTTTTATGATACAGGTGTAGTGTTTAAGCTGAAACATTTTTGGTCTGGAGAACAAGTCTGTTACAGTATATACTATGGACAACTACTTGTAGTCTGTAGTAAGAGCTATTAAATGCATTAATAAAAGAAACATAAAATATTGAAGGTATACTATTAGATTGTGCTCTGGATTAGGAAATCCCCAATTGCCTTATGTAGAATTACTGTACTTGGAATGTCTCAGATTATCAGACTTCACTATGTAGTATATAAGGTAGATACTTGCTTGATGTCTCAATAAGAGAGAGTACTTGGGGCACTCCTGCTATACTTGTTAAAAGGTTATGAGCCTTGGTGCCTATTGAATGCCCCCACACACTCACTCTTGCAGAATGCCTTTGCCTCCTGCCAGACCACCAAGCCCAAGACCTCCCTCTCCCCCCAAACCCATTACAATGTTGTCTATGACACATACCTTTGTTAACACTACAATGAAGGACTCTGACATTACAAAGTTCTTCAAGGGAACAGAAAAGTTGGCTGGTGCAAAGGGATACAAGATATGGTGCTTGTGCATACACAGTGTACTCACTACCATGATGCTCTTAGACCATCTAGAGCATGATCCCCCTTCCTCCAATGATGCTGGCATACATACAGGCAACGTTTTGTATCATTGTATAACAAAAACAATAACTGATACAATTTATACAAACTTCACAACACATACAAGCATTAGAAGTCTCATGAAAGTGCTTTCTGAACAATACAACGTTCAAACAACAATGACACATGCTGTAGACATATCTATGTTGTTTACAGTAAAAGAGCATGTATTACAGTTTGATAAGACGTTAGACAACATTGAACAAATCTATAGACAGTTGTCTACACATAATAAAGCCCCTAATAACAATACATACATCTCAGCAATTAACCTCACTACTCCTTGTGAGTATAGATGGGTAGCAACAATGCTAGACAGGCAGATTACTCATTATAATCAACTACTAATGGTTACAGTAGCTCAGAAAGATGTTCTGACACCAGCTAAGTTGATACACAAATTATGAAACACATATACTAAGTATCATTCTCAGTACTTTCAAACAAAACAAGATACTGAACAAGACAGCCTACAAACAAAAGGCAAAAGTGTAGCTAAAGGCAAAACAAAGTCTTACAATAAAGTTAAATGCTACAACTACAATAAGTACAGGCATATGTCAAAAGACTGCTGAAATCCTCCAACAAGCAAAACAAAAGAAGCTCAAAAGAAAAAGTATAGGCAAACAGCTACTACTTCTACTACTACTACTACACTGTCTCAACCTGCACTTAATACAGTAGTATTCATTAGAGACAATAATGAAACAGTATTCATTGAAGATGTTAATGAAACACTAATGCTAGAGTCTGCAATCACAGAAGCCTCAGCATCAAGTTCCAGCAGCTTACCTGTTCAATCCACTCTATCCACTGAATCTGATGTATTTTCAGCATTCAAAGTACAAGAGGAAGGTGTCATGCAAGTAGACAACTTTATGAACTCATTTGACAATACAAAAGAAGTCATTAAGGAGTTCAATTACAATCCAAACGTATGTATCAACACAATACATTGTAATGATACTAAACTAATACATTGTATTGATATATTAGACTCTAGTGTAAATGTACATACTACTCCATACTTGTTCTGTCTTACAAACGTTTGGAACTCAACCCTAATAAACATTATGATTATGAATAAATCATTATTCACACTTAGCAAAAGTGGAGTAATGACATTTAATGTAAAACTATGAGACAAAGCTAATGAGCATACAAAGGTGAATACAATTTCACTACAAAACATATACTATCATCCTAATCTGAACTTCACACTTGTTAGTGAAGTGCTATTATGTAAAGCAGGATATGTTTTAACAAAAACAAACAATAAATGTATTATTTATTCTCCTACTCATACAAAGATTGGTAAAATACATGTACAAAATAACTTGTATATGATAGTTTCTCATCATAATAAACAATCTATTAATGCAATCACTATCATTGATTTACATTGACAAATGGGTCATGTTAATTTCAATTACTTGTGCAAACTCATACAAGAGTATCCTGAGATTATAAGTCAAAGGATAACAGACAATAAAAATGCACAGTGTACAGA